TAATTATATATATATATATATATATATATATATATATATATATATATATACATTTGTTGTGTGCTTAAAAGTAATGACTAGATGAACATGTCACGTATATACATATATTATAAGTTGAATGCAGCTCTTAAAAGACAATAAGATCTGAAAAAAAATACAGGACCTAGCTTGACTGAAATTATTTCACTAGTGTTTATCATATATTACAAATGTCCATAATCAACATGCATTGGTCCTATAAGTACACGAAAATCTAAAGATCATTTGATGCTTTAATAATAATATTTTAATAATACTTAGGCTTCGTTTGGGACGGCTTTCGTATTGCATCTTAAAGCAGATTTTTAGTAAAAAAATTAATTTTTTGTACTAAAAAGATGCTTTAAGAAGCAATACGAAAGTAGTCCCAACGAAGCATAAGTCTTTGATTTGCGCTCATTGGGAGTCGGATCCGATCATCAATATTGTCATTAGATTCATGTCATTGAGACATTCAGTATGATTATAAGTTTAATGATATTAGAGCTTAGATATTTCTAAGGCTTCGTTTGGGATGGCTTTTTTACTGCTTCTTAAAACATCTTTTTAGTACAAAAGTTAACTTTTTTGTACTCAAAAGTTGCATTAAAAGCAGTAAAAAAATCGTCCCAAACGAAACCTAAATCTAATTTTAAAACAATTTAATTAAAATCCTACATCAAAACTTGTGCTTACTCATGAGCATTTTTTATCCCATATCAACACATAATGTTGTTTTTATATTATATTACAAAATATTTCTTTAGTTATAACATCACTCAAATTTTTTAACGACTACAAAAATACCACTCCATATTTCTCCTTTCATTAGAGAGATGAAGTCTCCATTGATGCAATGGACCAGAGCTCAATTAAAATGAATGTTATTATTAAAATATGATGTAATGTTCCTGTGCTTGAGACCCAATCGAGAGCTCCATTGGAGTTGCAGAGTTATCATCGTCATCGTTTCCTTCTCTTCTCAGTCGTCCTCAGTGTTAGAACTGCATGGATTAGTTAGACTTCACTGAGGTACCATTAGATGAATCCGAGAACTTCGCACAGAGGAAGAAGCAAGCACCCAAAATGGTGATGAATTAAGATTTTTGAAAATTTTAATGAATTAGATATAAGTAATTTAGAATTAAAGATTGGCCACTCAATACCAATTATAATATAAAAAAATTAGCAGAGTGATCTTAGTAACTAGCACAAGGTATACAAATAAGTGCAAGAAATTTAAACAAAAACAGACAACATATGCAGAGAATTTTTATGTGGTTCGGTCAATTCTAATGCCTATGTTCCTGCCTAGCCAACCCAATGTAGGATTGAGCTACCAAAAATTCAATATAATACAACCTACGTACTCGTTTATCCAAGTGAGTACAACCTAAAACTACGAGTCAGTTTGGGATGGTAACAGCTTTTTGTAAATGTGGTTATACATATGTTATGAGTTAGGGAATTAAACTGCGTAGCGAACACAAACAAGAAATAGAAAATTGCAGTGAAAATAAAGAACGACATTATTTAACGTCAAAAAACTCAAATCCGAGAAAAAAAACATAGTCATACCACACCAAGAAATTCACAATGAAAATTTGGGAGAAATAATACAAATCTTTCTTCTCTTTCACTCTCTCCTTATCTCTATTCACTCTTGCACCATTCCCTCGAGAACAAACAAAGAGAAACTAACTTAAACTACCAAGCGATGCAAGCCTCATGAAAATGAGAAAGAAAATTGCCCAGCCTACCTCGTAACACGCGACATTCAACTCTCTATCTTTAGTATGTCTAACAATGCCACAATGCTAGGGTCTAGAGCTTTGTAGTGCTTCATAGCAGCGCCGCAACACCGGGGTCTGAAGCACTGCAACACTACAATCTCTATATGTCTCCAAGAAAATTATACAGCACCGCATCGCTTGGGTACAGAACACTGTAGCGTTTGGGTACACAACATTGTTGCACTAGGGTATATAGTTCCACAGTTGTAAGGAAAAATATTTCTCGTAATAAGCGCTCGAACCCAAGCAGGGTGATGACCCCCCAATGAGCACGACTGATGGAATTGAGGTCCAAGGTAGTAGTACAACCGGATTAATCAACACAACTAAATTTCATGTATAACTAATAATCTCCCATTTGGAAATTGGTTGCGATCAATTATTCTCCTGATTTGTAGCACCGATTATAGTACATGTAGTGCAGTGAAAACCAACTGAAGCTACATATAGCTTCAGTTTATCAACTATCACCGTCTTTGTCAGCATGTATGTAGGATTCTTGGTTGTGTGAATCTTCTCGAAAGATAACTAACTATCTTCCAGAAACTATATGATGAAATATATTAAAGTTGAATGTGTTTCGTACTGGCATGGAATGCATCATTCCTAGCTAAATGAATAGAACTAATGTTGTTATTATACAACTTCTCATTTTTTTGTCATTTTCCAAGTTCAACTATGAAAATTTACAAAAAAAAATATCTTCTATCATGCCCCAGGATCTAAAGTTAAAAAAAAAATCATTTCTATTCTCTTTGTCTTTTTCTTTTCATTAAAAAGCAATACTCATTTATATACAATCATATCAATTTCACATTCAAAGCTGATTAATTGTTTTAAATAAAATAAATAAAAATCATGAAAAATATACTAACAATACTATTGTCAATATTTATATTCTATTACAAGCTTCAAAACTCAAAAGCATATATACAATAGGCACCACAGGATATAAAAGAACTTATATAAAATAAAAAAATAAAAATAGAACTAAACTAGCATATATGTCTAGCCTCATACCGCAGTCTCCTTATATTTACATGAAATTATATGAAAATCATATAATGAGCTTATAAAGCCTAGCAATTAATCAAAACTTATCATTACCTTCAATGCAAGAAAAAATATTCAATATACTTGCTCTAGTTCTAATCAATATCAATTATCAATTTATATTATCAGTAAAGTTAAAAGAGATCTATCAAACTTTAAGAAAATTGATAAGAAGGAATATCAATTAATAGGCTATATCAGTATATAATGTTATATTGTATCAGCATCAATGCATGTTCTATCAATACAGTTTTAGTTTCATCTATCAATTAATTCAAAGCATTATTATGTAAATGGAATCATAAGTATAATTATGAAGAGCAAGCTAGGTAGGACATCAGTGTAATTTGGTCAATCGATTACACGCTACAACTAAGATTGCACCAATAACTTTTTATTTAAAAGAAAGTCCATCAGCCCACCCTCCTACATAGGGTATTAAATTTTAAGAGTCAACTCATATTAATTATAGTGCTAACAACTAACATTCCTTGCTTATTCCTTGCTTACATGCAAATGCTATATTTTTCTATACAATGTAAGTCAACATCATATAGAAAATGCAATGTTTCATAAAACACAAAGAAATTCATAAAATTTATAAACTATGCAATTACTTTAGAAAATCATACCTTTTTTATTCACCAAATAAAATTTAATAATACTACAGTCAAAATGCTCAAGAGGATCACATCTATCATATACAAAAAAGTTATATGGTGTAAGGTTGCTAAAAATCAAGATATTCCAACTTTTACAAGTTTTGATTAAATTAAAATTCATAAAACATAAAATTATTGAAATAATAAATAGAGTAATGGTAGTTTATCATGATATGAACAAATTTTTTAACTGGACAAACCCACAAAATAGGCTCTATAACCCCCAAACCTAGGTTTTTATCCCCTCTCTTTTTTCTTTTATTTTTCTGTTTCTCTTATCTGGATTTAGGAAAAATGAAAGAGAAAGGGTAAATGGAGTTTTAATAGGTTTTGTAGTGGTAAGAAATATTTTATAATAAAACATCTTAGAAGCACATTGGTAACTATGCCAATTATTCAATTTTTAGCATAAAATTCATATAAATCATTTTATATGTTTAAATTTGGCACTCATGGGAATCGCATCGCAACCTATTGGCATTCATAGTCATATTACATTTCTCCTTATAACTCTCATCATGTAAAAGATTAATTCACACTACTAACCCATATTAAGGAAAATTTATTGGCCCAGCCTCCTACATAGGGTATCATATCTTCACCATCTTGAATCATATAATAGCCAACCTTTATTCTAGACTCATATTTCACATAATGCATAATGTAATAAACATCTGATGCCATACTCAATATTTAGCTCATTATATCATTTAATGCATATCAGGTTTATATATGAATCAGGAATAATAAAATTCATAAGAAAATTCAATATGCTCATTTTCACTGGTAAATTACCATAATAGATAAATTATTATAAGTATGTTAATCATAAAATTGTATTAATAGGATTTCTAAAGTTATTTATGTGATGCCTAGAATCTAATTTGAAATAATTATCTTTTATCTTTCTATTTTACATAATTAGGGCTACCAAATTTTTTTTATCAATATAAATAGCTGCATAAATAAAACTATCAATCAAAATATGCATTTATACATATGTATTCATTTCATAAAAATCCATACAACTGAACTCAATGTACAGCTAAAAAGTAATATGCATATAAGCAATTAAGTCATAGCAGTGGCAATTACATGACCAAGAATCAGTGCAAAAAAAATAAAACTTGCATGCAGAGTAGTAGAATATGTAAACAATAAAATAGTATGTTATGGAAGTAAATAAAATAATATAGTGGTGAAATGAGTAAATTAGTACTGCTATTGAATCAATAAAGCAATCATCATATCAATACTTTGAATCAGTAAATGAATCATATAAAGTGTTAAAATCAAAGCATCTAAAAAACTTTTGA